CGTGCCTCGACATGCGCGAGATAGAGAGGCTCGGCCCCAGGCCCATGCTTGAGGTCATCGAGGACTGCGGAGGCTGGGACCTGGGTGGCGCCGCCGAGCGCCCGGGGTCCTCGGGACACTGGGACCTCAACCGGCTGCTGTACAAGGCGCAGGGCGTGTACAGCGCCGCCGCGCTCTTTTCACTCACCGTTAACCTGGACGACAGGAACTCCTCACGCTATGTCATCCGCGTGAGTGTCCCCCGCTCCTCAGGTACCCGCCAGCGGCCAGGAACCCGGGGTGCCGGCCCCGCTTCCCATAGACCCATCCCAGAGGGGAGGAGAGGAAAGAGGAAGGGAGCGTGCGCTGGCAGAGCTCGGGAGGAGGGCGCAAGTAATTTCCCTGGAGTAATTGCGGTGTTTAGCGGAGCCGCGGGAGCTGCAATTTCCCAGCCCTCTTGCAGGCTCCGTGAGCACGGAAGGAGGTGTGGGAAGGAGGTGTGTGCCCTTGAGCCCGGAGGGGCTGGGGCAGGCCAGATGCTGGGCCCTAAATGTCAATACCTCCTTGCGAATGCTCCTCACAGGTGGAGAAAGGGAAGGCTTTACAGGAAGTAGGATTGGGGGTGGGGGTGGGGAGGCGGGGACCTCCCCTCTATCATCCCCAGGCTACTCAGGCTAGACCGGTGGTGGGAGGGGCTCCTACACCCTCTTCTCTGGATAGTGGGAGGGGCTAGTGTCTTTGTGCCCCTCGGGTTGTGACAATGGATGTCTTGCTATTTGGACATTTGAGTGGGAATTCAGTTCTTTTGCTTGATCCTGGCTTGTTGAACTCTGACCTCTGACGCCCACCTCTCTCTCCAGATTGACCAGGATGGGCTCACCCTACCGGAGAGAACCCTGTACTTAGCTCAGGATGAGGACAGTGAGAAGGTGTGGGGGCAATGGGGTGAGGTTGCAGGGAAGGCCTGGGGCTCGGGGAGGAATGGCCCAGGGCCTAGCCATGATCCTCACCCTTGACATGCCCCATCCTGGTGCAGATCCTGGCAGCTTACCGAGTGTTCATGGAGCGCCTGCTCAGCCTGCTGGGTGCCGATGCTGTGGAGCAGAAGGCCCAGGAGATCCTGCAACTGGAGCAGCGGCTGGCCAACGTGAGCAGGGGCACTGCTGTGGGCTGGGAGGAGGGGACCATGGGGCAGGGCTGGGTCAACCTGATCTCCATCCATCCCAGATCACAGTGTCAGAGTATGATGACCTCCGTCGAGACGTCAGCTCCATGTACAACAAGATCCTGAAACTGTTGGGTCATCCCCTCCCCAGGACTCCAGTATCTCTTGTGTCTCCCTAACCCAGTGGTTCTCAACCTGCTGGCCCTTTAAATACAGTTCCTCATGTTGTGACCCAACCATAAAATTATTTTCGTTGCTACTTCATAACTGTAATGTTGCTACTGTTATGAATCGTAATGTAAATATCTGATATGCAGGATGGTCTTAGGCGACCCCTGTGAAAGGGTCGTTCGACCACCAAAGGGGTCGCGACCCACAGGTTGAGAACCGCTGCAACCCCTTCCCTATGCTCTGTGGTCCCTGCGACCCCCACCCCCACCCCCACCCATGGCCTGCAGCTGCAGTGGAAGTGGCTGCTGGACCAGATCTTCCAGGAGGACTTCTCAGAGGACGAGGAGGTGGTGCTGCTGGCCACGGACTACATGCAGCAGGTGTCCCAGCTCATCCGCTCCACACCCCGAAGGTACAACTGCCAATTACCCATCCCAGGCCCTTTCCCCATGCCCCAGACCCATCTTCTTGGGGAGCTATGAATTCCCACCCCTGTGCAGGAGCCAAAGGGGAGGCATGTGAGGAGCACTGGAGTGGGAGTCCTGATCCCCAGGTTCAGACGTGGTTCTCTCACCTACTCTGTGGAACCCTGAGTAGGGCTGTGAGTTCCTGAGTTGCAGTTTCCTCATCTGGGGATAGTGAGGCTTGAGTGGGTCTGGACGGCAGAAAGGGCAAGTGTGGCCACAGCTCTACCACCCCAGAAACACCCTGGGGAAAGCCTCCCTGCTCTCTGCCCACCTTGGGGAGGAGCAGAGGCCTCTCAAGGCCAGCTCTGGGGCACACAGTCACCAGAAGTGCCAACTCTTCCACCCATAGCAAGTCAGAAAATGATGCTGGCCTGTGACCTGTCAGCATCAGGTGCTCTGCTCCATGGCCAGAATGTGTCCTGCTGTGTGTGTGGACCCGGTCCTTTTTCTTGACCAGGCCACTCTAGGTTCTGCCTCTGTGTGCCTGGAATGACCCTCACTCCTGGGGGTGCTAGGTCCAACCCCAGGCTCAGGAGTATGGGCGGTAGGATGGTAGGATGGTGCACGCGGGTGGCCCAAGCATGTGAGCCTATCTGGACACCCAGCTCCTTCACCTGGCCCTCAGGATCCTGCACAACTACCTGGTGTGGCGCGTGGTGGTGGTCCTGAGTGAGCATCTGTCCCCACCGTTTCGAGAGGCTCTGCATGAGTTGGCACGTGAGATGGAGGGGAGTGACAAGCCCCAGGAGCTGGCCCGTGTCTGCCTGGGCCAGGCCAACCGCCACTTTGGCATGGCTCTTGGCGCCCTCTTTGTACATGAACACTTCTCAGCTGCCAGCAAAGCCAAGGTCAGGCTGCCCTGGGCTTGGGGGTGGGGTTATAAGTGTTGAACTGGGCATGGAGTCCTTGTATGGCCTTGGTCTGAGGATGGGGAGCCCCACACATCCCCCTGCAGCTAGGGGCAGCGGGCTAAGTTTAGGGCTCTGCCCTTTCTGAGGCTATAGGCTGGTTTCACCAGGTCTCCTCCCCCAGGAAGCCCACCTGGTCTGTCAGCCAGAGGAGGCCCTCCCCACTAAGCTCCTGCCCATCCTTCTCTGCCATGCTCAGTAGGCATGGTCTTGGGAATGCATGCGATCATTGCTGGGGCAGTTTGCCCCCTTCCAGACTGGGAGCTTTTTGTCTGAGGTGCAGGGCCTGGATCCCCACCTCCAAGGTCACCCCTTGGTGCTCAGTACCAGCCCTGAACTTAGAAAGTGGGGCTGAAAAATTAGGTGACCCCTCATACCAGGTGCCGGGGGCCCACCTCTAAGCCCTCCTGGGTTGATCCTTGAACCCTGAGCCCTGACCCTGCAGGTGCAGCAGCTGGTGGAAGACATCAAGTACATCTTGGGCCAGCGCCTGGAGGAGCTGGACTGGATGGATGCTGAGACCAAGGCGGCTGCTCGGGCCAAGGTGAAGTGCGATCCTGCAGGTGATGGGGTGATCAGCTTGAGGCCCCCCCAAGGGATGGGCTGATTTGTTTGTTCTATATTTATTGAGCACCTATGAGCGCCTAGGGCTGGGATAACAAAGGAGACAAAGGTGCCTTTTATGGAGTTGGCATGACCCGGTCTGCTCTTCTCCATCCTTGAACTCCCCTCTAAGCTGGAGCTAGAGCCTTCTCTTTGGTGGCTAAAGGGCTATCACCTGAGGCTCTGCCCCACTCTCACTGCCCTCTCAACTATAGCTCCAGTACATGATGGTGATGGTCGGCTACCCAGACTTCCTGCTCAAACCCGAGGCCGTGGACAAGGAGTATGAGGTGGGCTTGCCCCCTGGCCTGTTCCTGTCCAGCCTGACCAGCTGGGTTTCTCCAGGCCCCTGTCCAAGACCTCCAGGGAGCCCACCACCACTGCAGAGGAGCCACAGCCAGCCCTCAGCTGATGGACCTTGGGAGGGCATGTGGCCTGCCCGGCGCTCGTCTGGCCCGGCCCCTGGCCTGCCGCTGAGTGCTGCCTGTCCCCTGTGCAGTTTGAAGTCCACGAGAAGACCTACTTCAAGAACATCTTAAACAGCATCCGCTTTAGCATCCAGCTCTCAGTCAAGAAGATCCGGCAGGAGGTGGACAAGTCCACGTGGGTGCCTGGCCCAGAGCTGGGGTGGGGGGCAGGGAAGTGCCATGGAGAGAGGGCACCTTACTAAAGCCAGGAGGCTGGTGGGGCAAACTACCTCACACCATGCTGGTGCGAGGGGCACAAGGCCTGCACAGGTTGTGGGTGGGGCTGTCAGTTTTGGAGATCATTGGGGAGCAGCTTGAGGGAGGCCTGGACATGGCTGTAGGCTTGTCCACCAGAACAGCCTTCAAGAAGTTGGCTAAGAGGGTTGTGGAGGAACGTGGACCCCCCGCAGCTGACCTCAGCCTTCCTCCACAGGTGGCTGCTTCCTCCACAAGCACTCAATGCCTACTATCTACCCAACAAGAACCAGATGGGTAAGGGGCATGTCCTGAAAGGGGCAGGGCTTGGAGGTGGGCAGGTCTCCTGCTTACCACACCCTCCCTGTAGTGTTCCCTGCTGGTATCCTGCAGCCCACCCTGTATGACCCTGATTTTCCACAGTGAGTACGGAACCTGGCCTTGTCTGCGAGGTGGGTGGGGGCTGCTCACACTGCTCCAAACCTGGGCTGGGTCCAGGAGCCAAGACATCTGCAGACCCTGGGTCCTCCTAGTCCTACTTCATCCTTGGTTATTTAGGACATAAATAGTTTTTTTTCCCTTTCTTTTTAATGCTCCTAGTCCCTTCTTACCTAGTTTGAGATTTCATCAGGTGTTTCAAAGGTGGAGCAACCCTAGCGATGAGGAAAAAGGCATATCCCATGTGGGGTGCCTCCATTTCCCTCCTGCCTCCCTCCCCCCTCCCCCCACCCCAGTTCTGTGAGATGTTATTTCCTAAAAGGCAGGTGCGCAGGTATAAATGGCCCCTTTCACATATCCCACAAGGAAGCTGAGGCAGGAGTGCCCTGGCACCATGCAGACACCACGGGGTCACCTCCTAGCCTGGCCAGGGCCTCCCGGGGCCTGGGCAGCAGGGAGGCACTTTCAGAACACAGGTGGGGCCTGACGCTGCTGCTGTGGGCCCAGGTCTCTGAACTACGGGGGCATTGGCACCATCATCGGGCATGAGCTGACCCATGGCTACGACGACTGGGGTGAGGCCTGTGGGTTGAGGGGATGGTGGCAGTAGGGGGTAGGGTGGTGATGGGCTGATTAAAACTCTACAGGGCCCCTCTGTCCTCAAAGCCTGGGCTCTGGGAGTGAGAGTTAGTCTCAGCCCATCCTGCCCGTTCCCCATAGGGGGGCAATATGACCGCGCGGGCAACCTGCTGCACTGGTGGACAGAGGCCTCCTACCGCCGCTTCCTGCGCAAGGCCGAGTGCATCGTCCACCTCTACGACAACTTCACTGTCTACAATCAGCGGGTGAGACCCCCTGACCTCCCTTAGCGCCTGGGGCCCAGCTCGGCACATAACAGGAGCGTGTGTGCACACACACGTGTACACACACATGTGCCCAAACAAACCCTGTGCAGGTCCCTGCACATACACCCAGGGGTGCATGCACACTCTCACAGACACATGACTGAGCTCACACAGACTCACCAGGGCCATGGGGCACAAAGGGATTAGAGTCCCTCCTAAATCCTCTTGGAAAGGGGAGGACAGGGCAGGGGTAGGGGTGGGCGGGGGCCCAGGGTGCAAGGCCTGAGGAAGGTCAGTGGGCCCCATGCAGCCTCCAGCCTTTTCCTTTCTGAGCAGGTGAATGGGAAGCACACACTTGGCGAGAACATCGCAGATATGGGGGGCCTCAAGCTGGCCTACTATGTGAGCTGCTGGGGTTTGGCCCTCCATCCCTTCAGGGGAGGGGTGGGGGCTGATGGGGACTCAACCAGAGATGTAGCACCTCTTTCTCCCTGTTTTACTGTCCTCTGGCCTAGGGGGTGCCAGACAGGGGTCCTCAACAAAAGGAGGGACTCCCAGGCCCTGCATTCCAAGAGGAGGGAGGGCTGCCTGGAGGGGTGGCACCTTCCTGGGAGGAAGCTCAGCTTGGAGAGCGTGGAAGGAGGGAGCTGGGCCCTCAATGTGCAGAGCTGGGGCTGGCGGGGTGGAGGGTAAGTCAGGTTGCCCCGCTGTGGGCACTGCAGCTCCATGCACTTGAACCTCCTGAACCCCCAGGCTTATCAGAAGTGGGTGCGGGAGCATGGCCCAGAGCACCCACTGCACCGGCTCAAGTACACACACAACCAGCTCTTCTTCATTGCCTTTGCCCAGGTGGGCCATGGGGCTGGTAGGTGGTTGGGGGTGGGGACAATGGCTCTGTGGGTTCTGAGGGGAGTTAAAGGCCTAGTGTGCTGGGGGTTGTGGGAAGGGTGTTGCAGGGCTTGGGCAGTGAACTCCTGGCCTCATCTCCCACTCTCCTCCCCTGCACCCCCACCCCGGGCCCAGAATTGGTGCATCAAACGGCGGTCACAGTCCATCTACCTGCAGGTGCTGACCGACAAGCACGCGCCTGAGCACTACAGGTATGCTGCTGGGCCTCACCCTTTCCTTGTATCTGGGATGGAAGCAGGTTCTTATGGGAAGGGACAGCTCGGGTATGCTGGGACCTACACTTTATGGGTCTCTTCCACCCCAGGGTGCTGGGCAGTGTGTCCCAATTTGAGGAGTTTGGCCGGGCCTTCCATTGCCCCAAAGATTCGCCCATGAACCCTGCTCACAAGTGCTCTGTGTGGTGAGCCGGCCGCTCCACACCCACCCGCACGCCCCCACTGTCCTGCACGAATTGCCTCCTGCTGGCCCCTGGACCTGGCCCTGGCCCCAATCTGGGTGCCACCTGCCTTCCCAGCCCCTCCAGGACCTCAGCCCCTGCTGTCCATCACTTTAGGGATGACTCAGAGCAGGGATGAGGTTGGGCTCTAGGAAGGCAGGGGAGAGATGCAGGGGTCCCCAGACTTGACTCTAGTCAGCCAGAGCCTGTGGCCAGGCCGGACTCTCCAGGCCCCACCTTTGCTGTGTTCTTGCTGCTATGTCTGGTCAATAAAGCTGCTGTACTGACAATTCTGCCTCTGGGAAGGTGGGGCTGGAGGAAGGGTCTCCTTTGGGAGGAGGTTCAGGCTTTTAGCACCATCAGGACTCTAGGCGCCTTCTTGTCCCCTCCTAGTGACTTGGTTGAGCTGCCTCTGTCCTGCCTCCCCAGGCTTTTCTGTCTTTGTCACCAACGACCCATTTCCCCCTCCCCCAAGTCCTGCCTAGGCTCCTGCCCACTTCTGGGGGTGCCCCAGACCAGCCTCATGGGTACCAGACACCCAGCCCAGTGGTGCCCCATGCTCCATACCCCACCCAACCCAACCCTCTGGCCTAGGATCCTGGCTGGAATTGGAATCCTTAGGCCTAGCCCTCTTGCCTGGGCTCCCCAAATTCCCCACATCCACTCAAAACCATTTCTCCTGTCTCCCTGCTGGCTTAGAGGAAGCCTCAGGGGTTGGGGGCCTGTGGGGTGAGCTTCCAGGGTCACTTCTGCTGTGCGGTGAGAAGTGCGGCAAAGCCTGGATATCTTTCCCCTTCCTTCCATCTTTGCCCAGCTGGGGGGCCCATTGGGGAATGGGCATGTGAGGGAAGGTGGGCCCAGGAGCCCTGGGAGAGGAATAAGGTTCCTGACCTGGAGGCTGGTCCAGAGCTGGTGCCCAGGATGCCCCGTGAGCCTCAGCTGCCAGTTGCTGCCTGGGAGTCTGATGCCCAGTGTGTAACCCACCTGGGGAGTGCCCACCCTGCTGGTGAGATTGTGTCCGACAGGCATGAGGCTACCTGAGACCCCTCTGCCTGATGGGTCCCCGCTGGGCTCACTCGGTGTCGATGTTGCTGTTACCTAGAGCTTGGGACTCCTCACTCTCCTTTGGGGAGAACAGAGGGAGATCAGCGGGTGAGAGGGAGTGCAAGCCAAGGACATCTGGAGGACAGAATCCACTGGTTTCCAGACAGAGCCCCAGAGCATCCTCACTGCCACTCAGTGAAGCGGATAGTGGCAGGGACAGCCCCTTTCACGGATGGGTAAACTGAGGGGGGTCACGTGCCCTCTCTGAGGCCACACTGCTTGTGTCAGCTGATGGGCATGTCTTGGCTGCCAAGTCCTCAAGCTCTGGGTGTCCGTGCCATATTCAGCATCAGCTCTCAGTGTGTCTTAGAAACCATGCACACAGCACAAACACCGGCCACTGCGTTGTCTGCCAGGCCCTGTCTGCAGCCACCCTGGGGATTAGATTACTCTGCTGGGGTGGAGGACGTGAGCAAACAGCACGGCGGCCCACTGGGCCTCAGTTTCCCTTTAAGTGAGGAGCAGGAACAAGCGGTGATGCGGTGAGTGTAGACATGGCCTGGGGTGGCTATTGAAGGGCTGGCTGCGTCCATCCCCGGAGGGCAGGCTCCCCACTCAGCAGGCCTCCTCAGAGCGTGGCTCACCAATGTCAGAAAGCAATCTTCGGCTAAGCTTTTAATAGCTGGGGAATAAAGGAGGCCAGGATGGCTTACGACTGCACTTAAGCTTCCAGGCAGCACCTGTGTCCTGTGTGCGGGGGGCCTCGAGGTTCCCAACCTCTGCATCAGACCTTGCTTCAGCCATCCACAGCCATGAGACCAGGGTCACTGCTGAGTTGCCTTGACAAATGATTCCATGTCTCTGTACCCCAGGAGATCATCAGCAGACCTGGGGGTGCGGGTGAGGGGTGCACTTACCTGTGGTAGAGCCTCCCACCCCCTCACCCCTGCCCAACTCTGAGTCCTCAGGGCCAAGGATGCTGGGGTCGCCCTCAGCCCTGTGAGTACCAGCCAGGCCTCTGGATTTGGGAAGGACTTGACGCCAAATGAAGAGGCGAACTTGTGCCCCAGTTTCCCTGCCTTGCATCTCAGAGGAGACATGGGTGTCGGCAACCTGGGATTTCTGGTCACCCACTGGTTTCCAAACTGCTTTTCCAGAGCATCCTCACTGCCCCTCGGTGAGGCGGCAGGGACAGCCCATGTCACAGATGGGGAAACTGAGGGGGGTCACGTGCCCTTTCTGTGGCCACACAGCTTGTGTCAGCTGATGGGCGTGTCGGGAAGGGGCTCAGGGATTATGGTGCCACTGAGCAGCCCTGGGCCCCAGGCCTTTCCAACCCATTCTGTGGAGCTCGGATTCAAGTTTCTGCCACCCAGGTGGTTGCTTCTATGCTGACCAGATGTCCAACACCCTGGGGGTCCCAAGTGCCCCAGCTTGTGAGGTGCCCCCATGCACTATTTTTAAATGGCTTGGGCCTCTATTCCAAATATGCTGGGTCCTCTCTATGCAAATGCCTCCAGGTCTGGTTTATCGGAGGCTGGCTTGGCTTTCTCCTCATGACCCATTGCATGGGTTGGCCCTTTCCCACCCCATGCCCCCCACACTGGGCTGCACCCCAGCTGAGTCCCCTTTCCCAGGGACTACTGCAAAGACTGGGTGAAGTCACAGGCTTTGCTAGAGGTTTGGGGTGCTGGATGGGGCAAAGCCCTTTCACTACCTCTTCTCCTTTCTCCCCCTTTCTGGACTCCTCACCCCTCCCAAAACAGGCTCGAGAAGCCCCCTTTATTAAAAAGAGCAATTGCTAGCTCTGGCTAGTGTGGTTCAGTTGGTTGAGTGTCCTCCCATGCACCGGTTCCGATTCCCGTTCAGGGCACATGCCCAGGTTTCGGGCTCCATCCCCAGTGGGGGCGTGCAGGAGGCAGCCCATCAATGATTCTCTCTCATCAACGTTTTTGTCTCTCCCTCTTTCTTCCTCTGAAATCAATAAAAACATTTTAAAAAATAAAAAGAGCAATTTCCCTTTCCCCCCGCTGGCCCCAGCCTGGCCCAGAGCCTGAGCACTGTGTGTCCCCGAGGCTGTCCTGTCGGGCCACCCTGCAGCAGGACAGGGCAGCGGGCAGGGCTTGAGAGTGCGGCGTCCCTTCCTCTGGGCCACGCCTCGGTAGGAGCAGAGCTGGCTAGGAGCGGTGGGCCATTACAGATGTAATCTTGCCACCTCGCACCCCTTACAAAGCAGAAGGGACTACAACCCATTTTTGTTTAAATGGCATTTCCCCTTCCTGCACCCTTTTCATCACCACCCCAGCCGGCAAGGGTGGAAGGGGCTTCTGGAGAAACCGAGACCCATCAGGCTTTGGATCCAGTCAGCCCTCCTGGGTCTCAGTAACTGCAGTTGACCACGCTAAGCGGTCCTAGGGAGCATTTTATCGAGAAAAATGCAGGCCCCTGAGCCTGAGCCACCATTTGTAAACCCTTCACGGTCTCATTGAGGATTTGAGGGCAATACAAAACTCAGCTTGTCCTCCCAAAGGGAGCCCTTGCCCTCTAACCTCCCCTTTCAACGTGGAGGCCACACATTTGACGGCACATCCCTGAGTGGGACCTAGGCATGTACGGCGCCTGTGTGTAAGGAGCAGTGCTCCTATGCAGCTGCTCCCGGGCCACCTGGGTGGCACCCCTCCCTTTGGGGAACACTAGTTGCGCCTTGGCCTGGCCCTTCCTGCAGTCTTCAGAATGAACCCCTGGTGTCCTGGAAGGGACCCTGCCCCCTGATCCCTCTTCCGTGGCCTGAGGAGGACCCCCTCCAGGCCCAGCACCTGCCTTTGTCCCAACTGCAGTTGGTTCACATGACATGGGTTGTAGCTCATTTTGGGGCCTCCTCATCTGCCCGAGTTGGGGATTCCCAGCCCTCACTTGTTTATAGCCCATCTTTTTTGAAAAAAAAAAAAATATTTGTATTGATTTCATAGAGGAAGGGGGAGAGAGAGAGAGAGGGGAGAGAAACATCAGTGATGAGAGAGAATCATTGATTGGCTGCCTCCTGCATGCCCCCCACTTAGGATTGAGCCTGCAACCCAGGCATGTGCCCTTGACCGGAATAGAACCTGGGACCCTTCAGTCCGCAGGCTAATGCTCTATCCACTGAGCCAAACCAGCTAGCATCTTTGAGGCTTCGCCAACATGTTCCCCTGGCCATGGTCCCCCCACTGCTATCTGGGTGTGCCCTGCTGTACAGAAATATGTTGGCCCCATGGATTCCCCCCACCCCATGCTGCTTCCTCCCAGCCCTCCTTGCCTCCCCATGCTGAATAGAAGGTGCCTAGAGGGCTGCACAGCACACTGTTCATCCGGTGCCCCAGGTCCCTTTGAGCGGCTCCTGTGAGCAGGCTGGTGTCCAGCATGAGCTCATCAGTGAGAGGGGATGAGGCAGTACCTGGCTCCGACCTCAGCTGCCACCCAGCACCCAGGAGCCTCTGGCAGTGGCTCAGGTTGATTCACTGGGCCAGCACGCAGCTCGAATTCCCCAGCTGCTGTCACGTGATGCTGTTAAGCCGCATCTCTCCTTGCCTGTACTTTGCATAAATAATAAAACTCTCCCACCTTCCTGCAGGACCAAACCGTTGCAGGGGCGCTGGCAGGGATCTGTGTGGAGGGGTCTAAATGCAGCTATTTTCCCTCTCACTGAGGAGCCCAGGCCAGCAGGGAGGGGAGGGGTGCTGTGCTGGCTGATGACCAGTAACTTGCAAATCCAGTGAGCAAAGAAAGGGACAGAACGGGGCATCAAGGCCTGGAAGCCTCCGGCTGAGGGTGGACGGTGGCCTCACACGTTAGGACAGGGAACGGCTGTTTCCTCCCTAAGGGGCACATCAGGAGACAGACTGGTTCCTGGGCCCCCATGCCAAGTGCATCACGTGGCAGACTGGGCATCCCCAGTGGCAACGTCATATCAAGGGGAACTCCAGATGCCTTTGACAGGGCTACTGCCTGGTTTGTGCTCTGGTAGCAAACGCTGAAGCTCTGCTCTGTGGAGCACCCAGACCTGGCTATGCCTGGGATCCAAGGGTGCAATGGAAGATGCCGCGCAGCTTCACGAGGGAGCCAGGGGCTCCAGGAGGCATCCTCCAAGGGGCAATGGCCTGTCACACAGATGCCGACCAGGGGACACCTGTTTCTGGAACTAGGGAGGATGGCGGAGTCAGATGGTAATGTCAGCCCCAAGGTGAGGACAAGGCACAGCTAG